ATCCTCCTGGCCAGATCATTATCAACTCCTTTGTCTATCCAACTGCTCTCTTCTCTCTTAGGGCTCTATCCCCACCTATCATTTACTCCCTACACCCTCCCTTTCCCTATCTTCTGCAAATAAACCAACTTTTTCCTAGCTCCAGTTCCAAGGAAGGGTCACCGGACACAAAACATTAACTCTGATTTTTTTCTTCACGGATGCAGCCAGATCTGCTGAGCTTTTCCAGCAACTTCTGTTTTTGTTTCTGATTTACAGCATCCACAGTTAGAACATAGAACATAGAACAGTACAGCACAGTACAGACCTTTTGCTGTGCCAACCTATTATCCTACTAAGATCAAACTACCCTGCATACCCTACATTTTACTAACATCCATGTGCCTATCCAAGAGTCGCTTAAAAGTCTCTAAAGTATCTGACTCCACTACCACTGCCGGCAGCACATTCCACACACCCACCACTCTCTGTGTAAAGAACCTACCTCTGACGTCTCCTCTATACGTTCCTCCAATCACCTTAAAATTATGTCCCCGCATAATAGTAATTTCCTCCCTGGGAAAAAAATCTCTGGCTATCCATTCTATCTATGCCTCTCACCATCTTGTACACCTCTATCAAGTCACCTCTCATCCTTCTTCGCTCCAATGAAAAAAGCCCTAGCTCCCTCAACCTTTCCTCATAAGACCTGCCCTCCAGTCCAGGCAGCCTCCTGGTAAATCTCCTCTTCACCCTCTCTAAAGCTTCCACATCCTTCCTATAATGAGGTGACCAGAACGGAACACAATATTCCAAGTGTGGTCTAACCAGGGTTTTAAAGAGCTGCAGCATAACCTTGTGGCTCTTAAACTCAATTCCCCTGCCAGTGAAAGCCAACACATCATACGCCTTCTTTACAACCCTATCAACTTGGGTAGCAACTTTGAGGGATCTATGGACATGGACCCCAAGGTCCCTCTGTTCCTCCACACTGCCAAGAATCCTGCCATTAACCCTGTATTCTACATTCAAATTTGACCTTCCAAAATCAATCACTTCACACTTTTCTGTGTTGAATTCCATCTGCCACTTCTTTGCCCAGCTCTGCATCCTGTCAATGTCCCATTGGAACCTACAACAGCTCTCTATACTGTCCACAACTTCACCAACCTTACTAATTCACCCTTCCACTTCCTCATCCAAGTCATTTATAAAGATCACAAAGAGCAGAGGTCCCAGAATAGATCACTGCAGAACACCACTAGGCACTGAGCTCCAGGGTGAATATTTTCCATCTACTACCACCACCCTCTGTCTTCTATTGGACAGCCAGTTTTGTATCCAGGCAGCTAAACTTCCCTGAATCCCATCCCTCTTTACTTTCTGAATGAGCCTACCTTATCAAATGCCTTGCTAAAATCCATATACACCACATCCTCTGCTCTGCCTTTATCAATGTGTTTTGTCACATCCTCAAAGCATTCAATAAGACTTGTGAGGCATGACCTGCCCCTCACAAAGCCATGCTGACTGTTTCTAATCAAACTGCGCTTTTCCAAATAATCATAAATACTATCTCTCAGAATCGTCTCCAATAATTTGCCCACCACAGAAGTATGACTGCCGGTCTGTAATTTCCAGGATTATCCCTATTCCCTTTCTTGAACAAGGGAATGACATTTGCCACCCTCCAATCATCTGGTACTACTTCAATGGACACTGAAGACGCAAAGATCATTGCCAAAGGGGTAGCAATCTCTTCCTTCGCTTACCGTAGTAACCTTGGGTATATCCCGTCTGGCCCAGGGGACTTACTTATCCTCGTGTTTTTCAAAATTTCTAGCACATCCTCCTTCCTAACATCAACCTGTTCGAGCATATCTGCCTGTTTCACGCTGTCCTCATAAATGTCAAGGTCCCTCTCGCTGGTGAATACTGAAGCAAAGTATTCATTAAGGACCTCTTCTACCTCCTCTGACTCCGCGCACAAGTTCCCTCCACTATCCCTGATTGGCCCTACCCTCATTCTGGCTATCCTCTTGTTCCTCACATAAGCATAGAATGCTTTGGGGTTTTCCTTGATCCTACCCACCAAGTCTTTCTCATACCCCCTTCTAGCTCTCCTAAGTCCATTCTTCAGTTCCTTCCTGGCTACCTTGTAGACCTCTAGAGCCCTGTCTGATCCTTGCTTCCTCAACCTTAAGTAAGCTTCCTTCTTCCTCTTGACTAGATGCTCCACATGTCTTGTCATCCAAGGTTCCTTCACCTTACCATCCCTTCCTTGCCTCAGTGGGACAAACCTATCCAGTACCTGTAGCAAATGCTCCCTAAACAACCTCCACATTTCTGTCGTGCATTTCCCTGAGAACATCTGTTCCCAATTTATGCTCCACAGTTCTTGCCTAATAGCATTGTAATTCCCACTCCCCCAATTAAATACTTTCCCATACTATCTGCTCCATGACTATAGTAAAGGTCAGGGAGTTGTGATCACTGTCTTTCAGTTTTTGAGAATGGCACAAAAGTTCCATCAACAGCCCATCAGGCTATTCTGAGGGATCTTGTATAAATTGCATCTGGACCAATGGTACATATTTAGATTCCAGTTCCTAACTTATTGAATGACTATGTCATATTCCAAAACATGGTACACCCGCCCTAATCTCTAACCTCCTAAAGCCCTACACTCCACCCTGTCAACAACCTCCTCCAGCCTCGACACACCTCCTCCAGTTCCTACACGTCTCGCTATTGATGTACCTCCCTCAAGCCCCAGCACCCCTCTTGTACATGCACCTTTGCACTATCCAAGCTCCTAAAGAAAGGACCTTGAGCATGCAGAGTGCCAATTTGAGCCTACACAAAGCTTATTTCAACAGTACACCATGTTGATGAGGCTCTACCTGGAACACTGTATACAGTTTTGATCCTTGTATTTAAGAAATTATTGGCATTGGAGGCAGTTTGGAAGAGACCCACTTGGCTGATTCCTGGAATGAGATGTTGACTTACCAAGGTTATTTATTTAATTATTTATTCAGTTATTAGATGTTAGAAGAACGAGGGGTGGCATTACTGAAACATACAAGATTCTGAGGTGGCTTGACAGCATAGATGTTGAGAAGATGCCTCCATCCCTGGAGGAAGTCCCCCATCTAGGGGACATTGTCTGCTTATTCTGTAACTCTCATTTAAAGGAATATTTGTTTCTCCAAAATGACTGTGAATGTCTGAAATTCTCTACTCCAGAAATTTTTGGAGGCTAATCATAAAGTACTCAGAGAGGAGGTAGATAGATTTTTGAAATATTGGGGAGTTGAGGGCTTTGAGAAGCTGACAGGGGTTGAGACATGCGGCAGATCAGTCATAATCTTGTCTAATGTCAGGGTAGGCTTTGGGGGCCGAATTAACTACCCCTGGTCCTATTTCTTATGTTCTTTTTATAGAGTAGGCAAAAGTGAGTATTTACTGAATGACAAGATGTAATATGTGGTATGCTACAGGCTCCTTACCTTTTACAACTTGTATAAATAACTTAGATAAAGGAATATGGTCTATGATTGCTAAATTTACCAATGACACAAAAGATAGGTAGGAAAATAAAATGTGAAGAGGAGACCACAAGGGGATACAGTCTGGATAAATGCATGAGCAAAAATCAGGCAAAAGCAGTTCAATGTGGGAAGATGTTAAATAGTCCATTTTGGCTGTGAGAATAAAGAGGAAGCATATTATCTAAATGGTGAGAGATTGCAAAGAGCTGAGATGAGAGGGATCTCTGTGTCCTGGTGCATGGTTCACAAAACGTGAATATGCACGTACAGGAAGTAATTACGAAAGCCAGTAGAATGTTTCTCATTTATTGCAGCCTGAGGAGTCTTGGCAGGGTGCATGTGGAAGGGATGTTTTATCTTGTGGGAGAATTTAGATTACAGGTCACCGTTTAAAACTAAAGGATCACTTAGTTAAGACAAGAGATGGGGAGAATTTGCTTCTCACAGAAAGTAACGAGTCTTTTGGATTCTCCGTATACATAGATACAGTCATACAGCATGGAAACAGACCCTTCGGTTCTCGAAAGGCAGTAGGAGTAGTCTTTGAATAATTTTAAAGCAAGAGATAGTCAAGGGGGTAAAAGGGCATAGGCACAACATGAAGTAATCAGATCAGCCATGATTTTTTTGAATGGCAAAGCAGGTTTAAGTAGCCAAGTGAACTTCTTCTGTTCCTACATTTGTAGGTACGTCCCTCTTATTCGAGAAGCCTTCACCTTGCTTGGTCAGTTTTGAATCCACTCTACTATGGTACCTTTAATCCAATGACTTTCAAGTCTGTTAACAAGTCTATTATATGTTACTTTATCAAATTACTTTTGAAAGTCCATATATACACCATCAATACTGTACTCTTTATTCTCCCCATTATTTCACCATAGAATTCATATCAAGACAAACACAATTTGTCTACAGAAAAACAATGTCAGCTGTCATTTATTAACTTCTGTTTACCAAGTGGCAATTTCCCAGATTTTGTCTCAAAGTTTCTCCACCATGAATGTTACGCTGTCTTGCTTGTAATTACCTGGTTCACACCTTGCCCTTTCCAAGTGTTTTGTCACTCTAAGAACTCTTTCCATCTCCGTAAGATAAATTTAAAGTTGCATGCCCTATTTTAAAGGAGCTTTTCACTAATGGGGAATTCAGTCATTCATTTGTTATCATCTTTGTACTCAAGCAGTTCCAATTCACGTCAATGGGGTTGGATGGAAGCACACAGAGCTATCTGACCTAAGAATGCTGCAAACGTATTGACATTTCCACACCCTAGACACAGATTATTTCTAATGTGTTCCCATTGTATACCTTCAGCATATGCAGACATTGCTGCCAAAAGAGACATACTGTCCTAATCACTTGTTTTACTCTTACCAGGAGTGAATCGTAAGAATATCAAATTTCAGAAGGGCAACAACAATTTATACATCATATATATTTAAGTGAAATAAATATTCAAGAAATTACCTTGCAATTCCTCAGGATCCTTCACCACAATGTGGGCATTTAGGTCTTGCAGCTGTTCATGTAACATCTCCAGTTTTCGATTGGAGTTTTTCAGGACATGTTCCACATTGGACAAGTTTTTTTTGTCAGTGGTGACTTTACGCAGGTTCTCTGCACCTTCTTTTATCTTCAATTCTTTTCTGATCTCACGTTTAATCTGCTCTTTGGCTTCATCCAATTTCTGTTGGAATGAGGTATCTGAAAAATCTGAGCTCTGGTCCAATCGCAGTTGCTCAAAAATTGGGAAATTTCCATGGTTACTCTGCAGGGAAACCAAAGTTATTGGTTGGCATAAAAATCAACACTTCACACTGCACTGTAGCATAGTCATAGTAACGTTGTAATGATGAATAAGAACCCAGAGCGGATTGTACAGGTATACTTTGCAATGCAGATCTCCTCAGGAAGTTAAAACAGAGTTTCCCAAACCATGAATCATGACTTCCACTGTAATCATGGGATGGTAATTTGGGATCACACACTCTGAGGCAGCAATGGCGATAGTTAGGCAGAGACTTTGGTGGGACACTACAAGGATCAGTGCTGAGGTTCATGAGCACCCTTCTTGTTGCCAGAATCTTCAAAACCCCCCCGAACAGCATCCCACTCAGACCCATCCTCCCTACCCTATCCCTGTAACCCTGCATTTCCCATGGCTAATCTATCTAATTTACACATCTTCAGACCACGGGAGGAAACCAGAGCACCTGGAGGAAACCTGTACAGACATGGGGAGAATGTGAAAACTCTACACAGACTGTCACCCAAGGGTGAAATTGAACCCAAGTCCCAGGGACTGTGAGGCAGCAGTACTAACCACTGAGCCACAAAATACTCTTCAGAGTACAGTAAGAAGAAAACAAAATACTGTAATACAGGTAGGCACATAATTAATATAAACCAGAAGAAAGAAGCCCAAAAAGATCCAAGCTTCTTTTGTGACACAGAACATAGAACATAGAACAGTACAGCACAGTACAGGCCCTTCGGCCCACGATGTTGTGCTAAACTTTTACCCTAATCCTAAGGTCTATCTAACCTCCACCCCTACCTTATACTATCATCCATATGCCTATCTAATAGCCGCTTAAATGCCCCTAATGAGGCCGACTCCACTACCCTCTCTGGCAATGCATTCCATGCCCTGACCACTCTCTGAGTAAAGAACCTACCTCTGACGTCCCCCCTATATCTACGTCCACTCACTTTAAAACTATGCCCCCTCGTAATAGCTACCTCCACCCTAGGAAAAAGTCTCTGGCTGTCCACTCTATCTATACCTCTGATCATTTTGTACACTTCTATCAAGTCAGGCATCTGCCACAAAAATATCACACAAATGTGCAGGAAGTAGCCATGCAGCCCATCATCTCTGCAGTGGCTCTCTGAACGAGAATCATGGCTTAGCGTCAGTTTCAGTGTCAGTGTCATTCTATCACCCCTTTCCTGTAACCTGCACACTGTTTCCATTCAAATAATCATCTAATGTCCTTTTGTATACATCAATTGAACCTGCCTCCATCATATTTCCAGAGAATGCATTCCAGACCCAAACCACTGATTGCACAAAAAAAGTTTTTCTCACATTGTTATGGACCACCCCACAGCCCCCCTAACATAGCCTAGATCCTACCTTTTATATTTATTTAAACATAAACATAAGGTGCTGCATTTCAGATGTAATTCGATTGGGTACCAACAGGTTTTAATCAAAACACACTTTATTCTTACAACACAGTTAAAATACAAACTTGAACTCTGTTCAAATACTTTTCAAGATAATACATGATTTAACCACTAATCATCATCCAGGCAGCATCCCTAAACACACCCTTTGGCAAGTCAATTTAACAAAACAGTTTTATTATCATGTGCTGTCTTCTCACGCTAGCAACAGAGATTGAACTCTGTTAGTTCCAGCAATCAGCTAGCAGACTGAAATCAACTCTCATTAACTGAAAGCAAAACTACAAACCTTCCTGGGTCCGAGACCCCTGACCCTACCCGGTCATGCTTCTTTTGTCTAATTTAAAGAAAAACATCCAGGCACATCTCAAAACTGTTTACCAATTGCCTGTCTGAAGGAAACATTCCGGCATCACTTTCGCAACACTCTCTGCAAGAGAAACAGGACAAAACTAATCTCTCTTAAAAGCATAGGACCATCACAACACTACGTTTACTTCTGTTGCAAATCACTTCACATCTGTGCCCTCTCTTTCTTGATCCTTTCATAAGCAGGACTAAATTTTTTTCAAATGAAACTAATCCAACAGCAAATTAAGCTTAGACTTCACAGGATTCTGTTTGCTCTAAATACAGTCTACTGATCATATGGAAATCAAGGAAGGTGAGAAGCAGTAGTACAGGTGGAGTGTTACAATCTTGTTACGAGGAAGTCTGTGGGCAGCATGGCGGTCCGGGTTTGCACACCTGCCATGGAGGTTTCAAGGTCTATGATTTGGAGCACAAGTTGTAGACAAACAACCATATAATAGAAGAGATAGTAGAGAGAGCCAGTCAGGCTGGAGCCAGGGGTTTGACAGTTTTTGTGATAGACAATATCAGAGGAGGAATAAAGAATAAAGTGATGGAAAAGCTTAGCAGATCTTTGGAGAAAGAAAGTGAACATTTTGCATCCAACATGACTCCTCTTTGAACTCGGAATGCTAAATCACAGGAGAAATTATAGAAAACATTTAAAGTCATAGTTAAGAGTCCAGGAGATAAAAATGAATCTGACTAAATAGAATAACACATCTAGAAATGACATGACGAAAGAAGATAAGGCAGCAAGGATAAAACGGAAACTGAAGAAAAGAGGCAAAAAAAAAGATGTGAGAAAATTAATATGAAAAGTTCATAAAATAAAAACAAAAATAAAACTATCAGGGAATAGAAAAGGAGGTTGGAAAGTATTCTACAGATACACAGGTGACACTGGAAAACTCAGCTTTTGGGATAGGAATACTGAGGGATACACATGCTATAAACTCACAGGTAGTGACAGCAAAGTGGCAGAAATATTAGGGAACTACTTTGTCTTAATACCAATATTAATTTTCTTCATTCATTCATGGGATGAGGGTTCAGTAGTTACCCAGAGGGCAGTAAAGTGTCAACCACATTGCTATGGGACTGACGTCACATGTAAGCCAAGCCAGATAAGGATGACAATTTCCTTTTGGAAAGGACATTAATGAACCTGATGGGTTTTTCCTCCACAATCAACAACAGATGTGTGATCAACATTAGATTCCTAATTCCATTCTGTTTTTCTATTAAATTCAAATTCCATCATCTGCTGTAGTGGGATTCAAACCTGGGTCCCCAGAACATTATCTGGGTCTCTGGATTAACAGTCCAGCGACAATAGCACTAGGTCTTTGCCTCCCACAATCACAATATTACCTCAGTACCATATCTTGTAACATTACATCAGTACTAAATACCAATGGTATCACATATCCCATGATGTCTTAGTATCTAGAAATCTATCAATCGCTGTCTTGAACATGATCGATGATGGAGTTTCCACAGCCCACTGCGTTCGAGATTATCAAAAGATTCACGGAACTCCAATAACCATAACTCTCTTAGTTTTAACACAGAGATGGAGAAAGATAGGACACGCATAGGTTAAGGTGCTGAACTGGAGCATGGCCAATTTTGGGGCCATTAGGCAGGATCTAGCAGAGGTCAATTGGGTGAGTCTGTTTGAAGGAGAAAGGATCGACTGGCAAATGGGAGGCTTTTAAAAGTGTGATATCAAGAGTCCAGGCACAGTATGTCCCCTCTTAGGGTGAAGGGAAAAGCTGGCAGGTTTAGGGATCCCTGGCTGATGAGGGATATTGAGGCTCTGATCAGGAAAAAAGCGGCAGCATACATTGGGTTTAAGCTATCGGACTCAAGTGAATCCCTAGATCACTATAAAAAGTGCATTAGCACACTCAAGACGGGAATCAGAAGAGCGAAAAGAGGGTAGGAGATGGATCTGGCAGATAAGGTTAAAGATAATCCCAAGAGGTTCTACAGCTATATTAACAGTAAGAGGGTGGCTAGGGAGAGAATGTGTCCCTTAAAGATCAGCATGGCCATCTACGTGTGGAGCCACAGGAGATTTTTAATGAATTTTTAATGTGTTTACTGTGGAGAGAATCATGGATGCTAAGGAAATAAGGGAAACAAGTGAGGATGTTTTGGACCGCATACAGATTACCAGAGGAGGCGTTTGCAGCCTTAATGCGCATTAAGTTGGATAAATCTCCTGGGCCTAATCAAGTTGATCCTCGGATGTTGTGGGAGGCTAGGGAAGAAATTGCAGATGCCCTTGCAGAGATTTTTGCTTCATCTTTAGCCACTGCTAAGTTCCAGAAGACTGGAGGGTAGCTAATGTTGTTCCATTGTTTAAGAAAGGTAGCAAAAACAAGCCAGGGAACTACAAGCCAGTAAGCCTGACATCGGTGGTAGGCAAGTTATTGCAGAGGATACTAAGGGACAATATAAACCAACATTCAAGGTCTGATTAGGGGTAGTCAGCATGGATTTGTGCGTGGGAAGTCATGTCTGACAAATCTTACTGAATTTTTCGAAGAGGTAACCAAAAGAATGGATGAGGGTAGGGCAGTGGATGTTGTCTAAATGGATTTTAGTAAGGCCTTTGACAAGGTCCCACATGGCAGGCTAGCCATGAAGGTTAGGTCGCACAGGATCCAGGGTGAGCTAGCTAATTAGATTCAAAATTAGCTCAATGGTAGGAAATAGAGAGTAATGGTTGAAGGTTCTTTCTTGGACTGGATGTCTGTGACTAGTGATGTGCCACTGACTAGGAGTCAGCACTGGGACCTTTGTTATTTGCTATTTATGTAAATGATCTGGATGTGAATGTACAAGGCGTGATTAGTAAGTTTGCAGATGATACAAAATTAGGAGGTATCGTTGACAGTGAGGAAGGTTTTCAAAATTACAGAGGGATCTTGTTCAGATGGGGAAATGGGCTGAGGATTGGCAAAAGCAATTCAATACAGATAAGTGTGAAGTATTGCACTTTGGAAAGTCAAACCAAGGTAGGACTAAAAGAGCAAATGGTAAGGTCCTGAGGAGTGTTGTGGAACAGAGGGACCAAGGAATACAAGTACAAAATTCGTTGGAAGTGGCATCACAGTGGACAGGGTGATGAAGAAGGCATTTAGCATGCTGACTTTCATTGGTTGAGGCACTGAGTATAGGAGTTGGGACATTACGTTAGAGTTGTATAAGTGA